AATCCTTTCCTCCTCTTAGTGTCTGAGACCTTGTGTTTGATTTGTGTGTAATTGGTTCGACTTCAGACCTAATCATTATTGTTTTAATCCAGCGGTGTGATGAAGTAGTGGGACTAGCCAAATTTCTTATTGTTTCATGATGTGCACATATGATATGTAATCAAAGCCTCGTTTCTTTTTCATGTTTGTCGTGTTGGAAGAAAAGGACAGCTTGTCGTTGAAAGCGACCACTCAGAAAGGGGGAAAGTATAAGCAGGAAAATATTTGTTTTTATTTTCCTTTATATTTGAACACTTCCATTTATGTTTAATATTGCTATACAGTAGTTTAAAATCATCCCTAGCTTGATATTTATACTGTATATGGGACATTAAAAAGGGTATTTCATCTTGGTTTGTATATTTTTGCTATCTACTAATGACAATGAAAACATTTATTATGTTTTATATATTGACCAAAATAGTCTTATGTTCCATACGTTTTCCTTCAGATCACTAAATTAAAGAGATTTAACTGTAAGTTATTATTATTTTTTACTGTAGGAAATATCCAGCTGCATGCCATTAAATCAGTAAAGGACAATGCTATCTATGGAGGTACTTTTGATTTGTTTGTTGCCATGCAGTTCGCAGCATGCAGAGGAATGTCTTTATCCTCGCAGCGCTGCGTGGACTGGGACACTTTAGGTTTGATATATTTTATTTCTCTGTTCTGCGTCATGTTGCTGTTGAGTGAGAGACGAGCATGTGTTGTGCTCTCCCCCCCGATGTGGCCTTCTCTGGCTGTCCCTCTGCAGGGTCAGTGACAGACGGTCGGCCCTCACTTCGTAGCCAAGGTGCTCAGTCACACAAACGTTAGTTATTTTAGTGTTAAACCTAATGAGGGTTGAGGTGAATGTTACAAAGAGTTTTCATTTCGCAGGACACTATGGACAGACAGTGAACATCTCTCTCTGGACCAGAGTAGCCTCTACTGTAAGAAAACACTCCTTTGTATATGAACAGGATTTTATAATGAGGTGTTCAACATATTGGCAATAAAGAAAAATCTATGATTACACATCAGCGTTTCTTTGTTTCTACACTTTTTGACCAAAACGTCCCTGTCTTTATGCACACACACATGAACTTATGAAGAGCACTTTTTGGACATACTACTGTTGTATAATGTGAAATGTTTTCAAATGTTTCGACATACTATACTACAGTATGACTTATTTTTTAAGAAACTATATTATTACTTTTTGTTTACATACTACAACTTTTTACACATGTTATCACATACTGTATTATGAATTTTCATAAATAAAATTGTATTTGAACTACTTTTTTGAGCATGTACAATACTATGACCTTTTTTGACCAAAACTTCACTACGGCTTTTTAAAAAATAAAAAGCAATTGTTATAGCATTTTATATTGGCATGCTATTTTAAGCCCTTTAAAATACTAAACTGGCGTACAATACAAAAAACTCTCAAAGTTGTGAGGGCTAAATGCCAATTAAGGAAGGCACAGCGCTCGTTAACTGTTGCCATGGTGACTCTCTTACAGTAATAACGCACTGTGACCATGTTATAGTACCGAGTGTGTTTCTGAATGACATGTTTGCCTGCCTGACGTTGCCGAGTGACAGGGACGGTGACATCACTCAACCTGTTTGGCGTCCTAACAACTGTTGCCATGGTGACCCCGAGTTTACAGAGAATTCCAGCCCGGTGACCTTCTTCTTCTTCTTCTTCTTCTTCTTCTTCTTAGAGGATGCGGAGGAGGAGGAGGGAGGAGGTGTTATCAGGAGGAGGGAGGAGGAGAGGAGGAGTGGATGATGAGCGAGGAGGAGGAGGAGGAGGAGGAGGAGGTAGGAGGAGGAGGGGAGGAGGAGGAGGAGGAGGAGGAGGAGGAGGAGGGGAGGAGGATGAGGAGGAGGAGGAGAGGAGGAGGAGGATGGAGGAGGAGGACGGAGGAGGAGAGGGCGAGGAGGAGGAGGATGCGGAGGAGGAGGAGGAGGAGGCGGCAGGAGGAGAGGAGGGGAGGTAGGAGGAGGATGAGGCTTCTTCGTCTTCTTCTTCTTCTTCTTCTTTTCTTCTCTTCTTCTTTCTTCTTCTTCTTCTTTTCTCTTCTTCTTCTTCTTCTTTTCTTCTTCTCTTATTCTTCTTCTTCTTCTCTTTCTCTATCTTCTTCTTCTTCTTCTTCTTCTTCTTCTTCTTCTTCTTCTTCTTCTTCTTCTTCAAATGAAACCAGAGAATGTCTTGCACACAGACCCAGACAAGAAAGGCTTCATTGTCCAGAGGGAGAGAGTCAAACCACTTCCTGTGAAGAGAGAGTTTAGTTTAGGAAAATCAGATCAGTTTCATTTCCAGTGATTTCATTTCATGGATGTTTAGCTGAACATCACTTTCAGGAGGAAATTGAATTTGAACGATGCCTTTAATGCTGCAAAGAAGCTTCTAGCACACTTTAACACCACTTTTGTTAATATTGTGCCTTTTATCATATTTAAATGAACATTTTGATCTTCTGGGGAACACTTGACAAGAACCAGATAATAAGATGGATATCATGCTAACAGTTAGCGGCTAACTGCTCACTGTTGGGTTGAATCATTATATTTCCCAAAAGGTTGAATTATTCCTAATACATGTTTACAGACAATAAACAAACACAAATAATCTTTAGAAGGGATCACACCAGCGACGTGCAGTCAGGGGAGGCAGGGGAGGCAGAGCCTCACCTGTCATACTCCAATGTAACGGAAAAACAACAAAAGAAAAACTAAATAGTAATAATAATAAAATGTCTCCACTGATCTGTGTTGTAAATGTGATTTCTGTTTGATTCCAATCGCTTTTTATAGTCAAAATCAGCAAATTGGCCGAGCTCCGCTACAACTACGGGGAGCGATGAGGAGTGAGGCAGGGACGAGCTCTGCCTCTCGTAAACCCACAGCAACTGGCTGGAGCGCGGGCACTAATTTAGCGCGGGCACTTATTTTGTGAGCGCGTTCAAGCCAGTTACTGTGTGGTGAGGTGAGGCACAGATGAGCTCTGCCTCACCTCAGAATGCGTCACCCCACATAAACTGGCTGGAAAGCGAGCCCTAAGCGCATGCCTGCACCATCTCACTGTATGTCACCAATGTAATGTTTGTAGATCCCTTTATTACATTTATCCTCGCCATCCATAGTCTCTAAATAACTTATTTCACGTATATATGATATTTAGGCTCGCTGGTCTCATCATACAACGGCAATGAAAAAAGCACCAGGAGAGGCAGCCATAACCTCTGCCGCACTGAAGGGGGCGCAAGTGAGCCCACAGGTTCTTGTTGCTACTGTTATTCTACGCAGAGACGGTATAGACGCAAACAACAAACTAGACTTTTGAAACTAGAGGAAGATAAGGAGGACTTTTACAAAAAAGTAATAGAGATTGTTGTCCAGAAGGATAGCATGGACTTCATCTTCAAGTCAAGGTAAGACCACAATTGTAATGCAAATGTATCTTACTAAGAAAGAACAATCCAATATTTAAATTGTGGGTAGGCCTATCCTTTTGTTGAACGGTCTGTTTAAAATGAATTGAAGCATCAGACTAAAAAAGCTTTTGAAAATAACCGAATATTTCGATTAAGGTCAAAATATAATATTTGTAAATCTGACTCTGAAAGAGTCAGTGCCTCACCAGCCATGAACCTCACCGCACGTCTATGGATCACACCATAGTGTCTTGGAATCTGAATGGCATTTAACAATAGTTTTCCTTTCTGGTCTCACCCGCCGTCAGACACACACACAAACACATATCTATACAAACACACCCTCACGCTTATTATACACTTGCACTCTGATGCATTCATAAACACACACACCAGAACACACACAACACACCTCAAAGGCCTACGGACACTGACACACACACACACACACACACACACACACACACACACACACACACACACACACACACACACACACACACACACACACACACACACACACACACACACACACACACACACACACACACACACACACACACACGCACAAAGAGACATGCAAGGCCACAATGAGGTGTGCTTACACTCTGACGCATGTGTTCTGCTCTGTGTTTGCATAAAAGGGAAGGTGTTAGGCACCTCTGATAAGGCCATGGCCATGTGGCGCAGAGTTAAAACTCAGTCTGCAGGAAGTCATGGAGTCTGAAGGAGATGCTCTTCTGACCTCTAGTGATGGAACCTGGGCATTTTATTCCCCTTAAACTAAATTATTCTACACACAAACAAGTGTTACATTTGTATCCTGCGTTATACCTTTGTCTTCTCTGCATGTATCTGAAAGCTTGAGTTGTTTTTCAGATGACGAAAAGACAAAACACTTGATCACTTTATAAAATCTGATACTCTACAATGGATCTTTAGAATAAACTATTCCAAAGTTTATAGGAAGTAGTCAAAATGTACGGTAATCAGTAATTATATTCCGTTAATAGGATAACTCCAAACCCAGAAGTTACTTTTACTTCAATACTTACTTACTTAAGTACTTTTGCTGTTTACTTTTATAACATGTCATTTGTAATGTAGGACTTGTAACAGAGTTATTGTTTTTGCAGGGCAGTGTTGTTACTTTTACACAAGTACTTCTTCATTAATGTACTGTAAAGTAATGCTGGAAATGTGTTCTTAATTGTTTTCTCTATTTTTCTAAAAAGTTTGGGAGTATTGAATTGTTTAATTTAATAAATGACATCACATGATAACTACTACATCATAAAACACATTATAATCTACTGCATGATTTGGGATGTTATAAGTCATGTAATCATATCAGAAACTACAGTATACTTATTTTATTTATTAGTAAATATGTATTATTAGCTGTAGAATTCATGACAGAAAATTCCTTTATTTATATAAATAGGTGTATGATGGATAAATGTTCTAATATAATATTAATACACAATATAAAATAATTCATGACATTAAAATAAAAAATGACGTTGCTGGTGTTAAATCAAGGCAGCTTTAATCAAGTTAATTTATTAAGCCCAATATCACAAACATTACAAAAAGATGTACAATGCGTTCTGTGGTTTCAGAAAGTAAGGGACGAAATAAAAGAAAGAACAATAAATTAATTAATAAATTAACAAAAATGGAAGTTAAACAACTTTTGTGCAAAACGGACAACTATCATATCATATCTTTCTCAATATTTAAGGCTTTAATCAAGTGGATATATGTTGTTATTAAACTATGATCACATGTTATATTATCTGCCGACGTGTGTCTTTCTCCTGCAGACTCTTGAAGGAGCTGAGCTGCATGACCTCCCTCTGCTCGGAGGAGGAGAACTTGACTCTGAGCAGCACTTCTCCTCCGTGTCGCTCCACAGCGCTTCCCTCTGAAGCCTGCGCAGAAACACAAGAAGGAGAGGGAATAAACTCACATGCAGCCTCAAAAACAATCCCAGAATATGTGATGAAGAACTGCATTATTCAGAAATGTTTAAAATTATTGAGTTCAAATGGAAAACCAAATCTTTGATAAATAACTTTTTTCATATAAAAACTACCAGAATAAAAATATAAGCGGCCTGCAATAAATTCTGAGATAAGAGGAAGGATAGAATATTAATATATTTTTCATAGATGAGCAGATTTTTTTCTGTATTAGTCATACTATTATTTATGTTGAAATGTTTTCACTTAAGTGGATAGTAAGGCATTTCAGAAAATATTTTTTTTGTTCATTCTTTTGAGAGCTTGATGAGATATTACTGTCATGTCTGTATCTGGCCCTATTTACACAGGAACGCAAACGAACCAAATTCGATATCAAAAAAGTCTTCCGTTCACACGGATACGGCTCAATAAACGTGTCCCTTCACACGAGACCGCTCGACCCGCTGGAGACGCTGTAGTACATATGCCGGGCCTGTAAGTGGCGCTGTACTTCCGCAACAAAATACACCAAAAGCAACGATGAAGACCCCCGAGCATGGTTGCCATGGTTGCCTGGTTGCCCTTCTGTTTATTCTCCGCGGTGGATTTAGCAACATGTAGTTCATGTAGTTCTCCATGTCCACTTGTTGCTGATGGTTGTGGTAGAGGAGCTGTAGATGTTGCACTAACATCTGTAGCATGGTCAGTAGCAGTAGCAGTATCTACTGACAGTAGCTACTAACCATGCTACAGCAGTGAGCAGCAGAGGTGTGGAGAGGCGGGGCTATGGCTTCACCGTTATCAGGAAATTATCGTTTAGCACGTACACACGGAGCCGTTTGGCCCCCCAGAGCGTTCCGTCCGCAGATCTATCCACCTTGGGACCCGTTATCGTTTGAGGGGTCCGTTTCCGCGGTTCCGTTTCCGCGGTTCCGTGTGAACTAACAGGCTATACGAAAGAGAAAAGTAGCAGATACAACCCGTTTCGTTCCCGTGTAAACAGCGCCTCAGAACTACTGTATGCTGTTGGCCTGAGCCAACAGTCAATTAGCTTAGCTTAGCATAACAATTGGAAACAGGGGGAAACTTCTGCCTTGTCTCAGTCCAAAATGTAATAAAATTCACCTACCAAAACCAAATCTAAAGCTATATTGTTAGATCAATATCTCTTGTAAGATTATAACCTTACAAAGTGGGAACAACTAGCATTTGGGGATGTACTCTTCATTTAATATTGAACACAGTGCCTTTCAGTTTTACCTTGTGACAAAGTGGGTACCAGTTGAAGCTCTGGGAAGTCTTGTCCTCAAACCTCCAGCCATCCAGCGGGAAGAGGGCCTCACCGAGAAACACTTTCCTTCTCAGGGTCCCTGAATGCCACACAGAGGCCTGCAGTCTCTTTCCAAGCAGCAGGTGGCGCTCTATGGGAAACTGTCAAACACCAGACCAAGAACTTTGTTTAATTTGAGATAAGTGGCACATTTATTGTCCAGACAACTGAGGTAAAATCATGTTTGTACCTTGAATACTTCATTATAAACCGGATTCGTCATGTTTTTCTTGACTGTCGTCTTCATTTTGCCGCTCTTTCCCGGCAGCATGCAGAGTTTGACGTACCTACACAAATAAATATCAAGATGCTGACTAACCCGATATGAAATAAGGCCTAAACATGAACAAGCATTCAGATTACTGGAAAAATTGCTGCTCCAAAAACAAGTTAAACAATATTGAAAACATGCTGTTTTCACTTGAAATAAGTACAAAAATCTGCCAATAGAACAAGTGAAAATTTGCTTGATAATATTTCTTGAAATGAGAAGGGATATTTAGATAAATCAGATCTTGTAATTAGCTGGGAGAATTTTTTTTAACTATATTTGACCAGAATCAGGAAATGTTGTGTTACAATAAAAGCCGCAAATGCTCAAAGTTTTCTGTTTTCTGATATTAGTTGGTGATTTTCTAATAAATATGTAAAAACAGAATGTGTTTCATCTGAGATATAACTCAAAATAAGATTTTTTGACTTAACAAGATGATGCATTGTCTAAAAACAAGACCTGATATCTCACTGCAGTGTTAATTTCTGAAGTTATTGTGTCTTATATCAGGTGTAAAGACATATTCTGAGTAGATATTAGACAAATATACATGGCAAGATTTCAAGTTTTTGTAGTGAGAGTGATATTTATTATCCTTACGGGTGGCACTTCTTCTTCTTGGCATCTCCGTGGGAGAGATTTCTGCAGCACCCGACGGTGATCTCCAGACAGGACGAGTCGCTGCTGTAGGACAGAGCCAGCTCCAGCTCTCCGTCCATGCTGACGCTCTCCAACAGGCAGTCTGTGCTGAGGATGCTGCAGCTGCTGCCCTGAGAACATTCAAATACACAACATGTAGTATTCTGCCACTGAGAACATTTAAATACACAACATTTAGTATTCTGCCACTGAGGGTCTCCGGACTTCATGATACACTGAATATAGCAGTTTCATGTTAAAACATCTGTGTTTTCTGGTTGCTTAGCTTGGTAGCTTGACTGAAAATGAACGTCCAGAAGGGGCTGTGATTGGAGTTGGCATTTGTGTTTGCTCAACTTGTTAATCTGATAAAATGTCCACTTTGTTCAGTTTAAAACATTTAATTTCTGACAGCTTCTGGCTTCAGGAAACAGCAACCCGTTTAATGAAACAAGGCAATCAATATGTGGGAATTAATTTATTCTTTGTAATCGTTATTCTGCTTCTGGTAAACAACTACAAAGCAGACACATGCTCAAAGCGAATACATGGCATGAAGATTACAGAAAATAATGACAGATTTCTCCGGGTTTAAATAATTGAAAGAAACATTTTGGATAATGTAAATGACCAACTCAACAAAATATATAAGATATGTCTAGTTGTACTAACTGAGACTAGAGAACAGGCCAATAAGAGTATTTTTTATATGAGCTAGAGGGCTGAAATCATAAGAGTGTGATATTTCTAACGTCACAGGATGTCACTGGGGGATTTTTTTCTCTGATTATCAGTTTCTACTTACTCTCTTTCCTCCGGAGTACTCAGAACCACAGGAAGTTTCTTCCTCCGCCCCGGTGGACGAGCCCTCCTGGTCGCTGTCTTTGCTTTTCTTGAACAGGTTTGGAAGACTGGGGCCTTTAAAGAGCTGGAGAAAGACGCAGGGTCATTTATTTAATATTTAATAACAGTTATTCCTTCTTAGCAAGATGAGATGATTCTGAAATTGAGTTGACTTTCACTTTTGGTACTTTAAGTAGGCCTATATACTGATCCAAATCATTTTGTACATTTGATAGCCAATTGGAGTCCGAGTGTTACATAGTGATGTCACCGTGTAACAGCAGTAAACAAAAAGTCAGATCGAGGCGTTTCAGGCCTCTGGAATGAACTTTGGGATTTTAGCATTTGTTTCAAGTTTCAAGGCTTTTATTGTCATGTGTGTTATGACAATGAAAATCTTAGGTCACAGGCTCCTCCAACAGTGCAACACAATACAACAGATAAAATAGTACAAGTAAATAAAGTAAAATAGAATATAATAGAAACAGAATATGATAGAAACTGTGCAGAATAGTCTATATACGGTAATTGGAATATTGATATATATATGATATATGTGAGTTGCAAACAGATGAATGTTATGTATGTCCTTTCAAAAGTTCAGGTATTTAACATTCTTATAGCCTGTGGAATAAAACTTTGCAGACCATTTACATGCACAAAAACCTATACAGTACAACACAGTACAGGAAAAGGGAAAACCCCATAAAGTCAGTATAGGTGTACTGGCATTTTAAGGCACTAAAGCTGAATATGTGGATTTGTTGCAGCTCATGTACCCTGCTAGATTTGCTGATGTCAGTTTCAGAGAGGCTCTTCTGGGTGCTCAATTTGGAGTCTCTCTGGTCGTTGTCCACACTCAGCAGGTCTCCTCGCACATCGTTCTGAGAGGTGGAAATCTCTGCATCGAGAAACAAGAAGTTAGACCATGGTGTCCAAACGGCCACATACAGAAAAAAATATATGAAGGGCTGGGCCACTCACTAGAGGTATATTGCCTCATAAGTTCAGTTATAAGTTAGCAAAATCAATCAAATGTAGGTAAATGATGCTTGTGAGTGTTGGCAGCTCATCTCTTAAAACAGAAGATTGATTATAATAATGAGAAATAGGAAGGGTGTATTTCAAGTCAGTGGGCTTTTTTCTTATCAACTAAGATATGTTAGAAAATGTTTCCACGTTTAATTGACTTAACACATGAATACTACTGTGTAATATATTTTTACACTTCTATTTAAGAAGTACAATATAAGACAAGCACAAGTTTGATTTGTGGGCCATATTTCATTATACTTTTTTAATTTGCTGAGGGCCGATTCAAAATGGTCCGCGTGCCGCATTTGGCCCCCGGGCCGTAGTTTGCACACCTCTGAGTTAGACTCTTCAAATCTCAGGAAATAACTGAATAAATGTTAACTTGCAGAGAAAAACTAAAACTAGTTAAAGCCGGATACACATTTCAAACTGCTTTTTTCTTTTAACAATGCAATACATTATGTCGTTACTTTCTGTGACCCTTATTTTATGCAACTTCTGCTCCAGTTGATTAACTCAGGATTGTGTTTGCATCATATTATTCATGGCACACTTCCTTTGTGGTAATCATTGCTCATCAGATTAATATGCAATAACATCTAGAGGAAGTGATGCTGCCAATTCTGAAAAGTTCTCTCCATGCGCACTGGAAATACTTGACTTTTTTTGGTGTTGCATAAATAATTGCTCATCAATGTTGACCATTAAACCGATGAGAAGAAGTGTTTCAAAGATGCATAAACTTACTTTTAATATGACTGGTGAAGGAATCCATCAGATCCTCCATAGATTTGGTAAAAGGTTTTGAGTTTTTTAAATCCTGCAGATCAAAACACATCGTTAATTGGCACTCAGTCCATACATACACTTGATAAATGTGGAATAAAGATGGAAATATGTCAGTGTTTTACCCCATGTCTGCTCAGAAACGCATAATCTGATAATAAGTAGGGCGGAGGAGTCGGAGGCACTACTGATATGTGACTGTAAAAAATATCAGAACAAAAAACATGTTACTTTGGCTTTTATTTTCAAGTTTCTCATAAAATATATATAATCATATAATGTTCAAGAACACATATGTTAGAACTCCTCGTACCTGAACACACTGTAGGTCGTTAATAGTTTGTCTCCAACCATCTCATATTTGTCTGTAAGGATCGACAAAAAGATAAACATTTACACACTATCAAAAGAGGACAGTGACACTTAATACAAATGTGAGCATTTTATTCAGGTTATAAATATGAATGAGTATAGTAAACACACCTGTGGTGCAAGGAAACTTCTTAGCCCTCTCCTCTAAGAACCACTCTCCAGACCTGAACTTGACATCTCTGTGAGGAATAAAAACAAAACAAAATCACATTATTAGCACTCACACGTAGTTATTAACGTACTAGAGTCTCTCATCCATGTCTGTCCATTTGGAAATGAGCAGTTGCTGTAAAGTAGGATTTAAACGTTTTTATCGCCAAAGAAAACTGCTAAATGTGGAGAAAAACAAGGTAAAAGTGGTTAGAAATACTTGAGCTGAGTTGCAACTCAGTATCAAACCACATCAAGGATTATTTCTTAAACAGTAAGGCAAGGCAAGGCAAGGCAAGTTTATTTATATAGCACTTTTCAACACAAGGCAATTCAAAGTGCTTTACAAAAAATGAAAGACATTAAGAAAAAGGCATTTAAAATCAGTCATTAAAAAGAAAAGCTAATAAAATAAACTTTAAAAGAAAAAATACATGGATAAAAGTTACAGTGCAGTCTAAGATATGAATAGTTCAATTAAAAGCAGCGACAAAAAGAAAAGTCTTCAGCCTGGATTTAAAGAGTTGCAGCGGACCTGCAGGTTTCTGGGAGTTTGTTCCAGATATTTGGAGCATAATAACTGAACGCTGCTTCTCCATGTTTAGTTCTGACTCTGGGGACAGAAAGCTGACCAGTCCCTGAAGACCTGAGAGATCTGGATGGTTCATAATTTAGCAGTAGATCAGAAATGTATTTTGGGCCTAACACCATTCAAATCTTTATAAACCAGCAGCAGTATTTTGAAATCTATTCTTTGACACACAGGAAGCCAGTGTAAAGACTTCAGAACAGGAGTGATGTGATCCACTTTCTTAGTGTTAGTGAGGACTCGAGCAGCGGCGTTCTGAATCAGCTGCAGCTTTCTAATAGATTTTTTAGTGAGACCTGTGAAGACACCATTGCAGTAGTCGAGTCTACTGACGATTCAATTCAATTCCAGTTTATTTATATAGCCCAAAATCACAAATCCTATTTGTCTCAGAGGGCTTCACAAGTCAACAAACACAATTGGCAATGTAAAACAATGTAAAAACAACAAACGTATCTCATAAGATCAATGTGAAAATACCAATTTAAAAAGAAACATAACACAATGACACAAATACAGTTAGAGTACAACAAATACAATTCCATAAAACGAAGGGTCCATGAGGATGTATAAAAGGGGGTTTAAAACCAGTCTTAACTGCACGCTGTACTAAAAAGGAAAGTCTTTAACCTACTCTTAAATGTGTGGACACTGTCTGCCTCCCTAATCGTCACTGGAAGTTGATTCCAGAGGAACGGGGCTTGGTAGCCGAAAGCTCTAGCACCTGACCTTTTTTGTGGACTCTGGGAACCACCAACAGACCTACACTCTGTGATCGTAATGCCCTAGAGGGGCAATAGGAGATTAAAAAATCCTGTAGGTAGGATGGTCCCTGACCATTTAGTGCTTTGTATGTGAGTAAAAGTATTTAAAAATCAATCCTAAGATAAAAGCATGGACAAGTTTTTCCAAATCCTGCTGTGACATTAGTCTTTTAATCCTAGATATATTCTTTAGCTGATAGTAAACTGATTTAGTAACTGTTTTAATGTGACTGTTGAAACTCAGGTCAGAGTCCATGACTACACCTAGATTTCTGGCTTTATCTGTTGTTTTGAACATTGCAGACTGAAGCTCAGCGCTAACTTTTATACGTTCTGCCTTGGCTCCAAAAACCATTACCTCAGTTTTATCTTTGTTTAATTGGAGAAAGTTCTGACACATCCAGTCATTGATTTGTTCAATGCACTTACTCAGTGTTTGAATTGGAGAATAGTCTCCTGGTGAAATGGTTACGTAAATGTGTGTGTCATCCGCATAGCTATGGTAATTTATTTTGTTGTTTTTCATTATCTGAGCCAGTGGTAGCATGTAGATGTTAAAGAGAAGAGGCCCCAAGATGGAGCCTTGAGGAACCCCACATGTCATATTTGTCAACTCAGATGTGTATTTACCTATAGAAACAAAGTTGTTTCTGTCCTTTAAGTAGGATTCAAACCAATTTAGAACTGTTTCTGAAAGTCCCACCCAGTTTTCTAGTCGGTCTAGTAATATGCTGTGGTCAACAGTGTCAAACGCAGCACTGAGATCTAATAATACTAACACTGAAGTTCTGCCACTGTCTGTGTTTAAGTGGATGTCATTAAAGACCTTTACAAGAGCAGTCTCAGTGCTGTGGTTTGGACGAAAGCCTGACTGGAACACATCGAAACAGTTATTTAAATGCAAGAAATTACTCAACTGTTGAAAAACAACTTTTTCAATGATTTTACCTAGAAATGGGAGGTTTGATATGGGCCTGTAATTGTTCATTACTGAAGCATCTAGATTATTCTTTTTTAAGAGCGGTTTAGGTTTAGTTTTCAGGGCCTGTGGAAAAATACCTGAGTGAAGAGATTTGTTTACTATATGAAGTAGATCTGAGGCAAAACATCTTTGAAAAATCCCGTTGGAATAATATCAAGGCAGCAGGAGGAGGATTTCAGAAGTTGTATAATGTCCTCTAGGTTTTTATCATTAATCTGATGGAATTGTGTCATGGTGTTTGAATTGATATTAGGTGGACACAGAGACAACACATTTGCTGTTCCTGATGCAGAGGCACTGACTGCTTGTCTGATTTTCTGAATTTTGTCAGTGAAGAAGGAGGCAAAATCATTGCACGCCCTGGTGGATAGAAATTCAGAGGCTACTGACACTGGGGGGTTAGTTAGTCTGTAAATGGTACCAAACAAGGCACGTGCGTTGTTTTTGTTTTTGGTAATGATGTCAGAGAAGAACGATTGTCGTGCGTTTTTCAATTCCAAATTATAAAGGCCAAGTCTCTCTTTATAGATTTCAAAGTGAACCTGGAGATTTGTTTTTCGCCACCTGCGTTCAGCTTTTCGACATTCTCTTTTTTCTGTTTTCACGGTCATGGCCTTTCTCCATGGAGATAATTTCTTGCCAGACACTTCCTTTACCTTAGTTGGAGCAATGGCATCTATAACATTTTTAATTTTTTAATTAAAATGATCTACTAGCTCATTTACTGAGATGTTAGCAGGGGCAAGTGTGGAAGAAAAATTCTGAGTAAACATTTCCCTAGTATTTTCAGTTAAATATCGCTTTGTGGTTACCTCTTTTTGAACATTTTTGTGAACAGAAATAGAGCTCTCAAAGAAAACACAGGAATTATCAGAGAGTGCAACATCAGTCACCACAACCTTAGAGATATTCAGACCCTTTGAGATAATTAAGTCCAGAATGTGCCCCTTATTGTGCGTGGGCTCCGTCACATGCTGAGTGGGTCCATAGCTATCAAGAACACAAAACAGTTATTTTGCCCCTCTGTCCTGGGGTTGTCAACATGGATGTTAAAATCACCAACAATGACTAGACGGTCAAAGTCAATACACACTATAGACAGCAGTTCAGTAAAGTCATCAAAAAAGCTTGCACAGTATTTGGGTGGTCTATAGAGGAACAGAGCTCGAGGGGAGCATTTCAGCTGAAGGGCCACATATTCAAAAGAAGCAAAGTTCCCATAAGATGTCTTCTTGCATTGAAGGGAATCATTGAACAGAATAGCAACTCCACCCCCTTTCTTATGCATTCTTTCCTGACTCATAAAACTAAAGTTGGGAGGGGTTGATTCGATAAGAACAGCTGCACTGTTATTTTGTTCAATCCAAGTTTCTGTTAAAAACATAAAATCTAGATTGTGCTCAGTGATAAAATCATTGATTAAAAATGTTTTTCCTGCCAAAGACCTGACATTTAATAAAGCTAGTTTAAGTTTGTTAAACACAGTATCAGTCATGTTTTTTGTAACAAGCTGTGGCTGACATGGAATCACTGCTAAATTAGATAAACTCACACAAACGTTTGAGCGCTTCCTGTATCTAAGATGATTCACCGCTCTTAATCTATTACCTATCAACACAGATATCGGCAAAACTATAGGCAGGCAGGGCCCCGGCATGTTCTGGAAAGAGTTGAGAGTGCCATACGCCCTTGAGCCTTGACCCAGCACATATCAGTAAGAGTTTGTTGCATTTTGTACACACACATCCTTATCAGGCTTCGGAGACTGCAGATGCTTTCTTGAATGGAGGGGAGGTGGTTGACGTAGGCACGGTGATGGAGACGGGGGAGATGGTGCGGGGGTAGAGGACATGCTGCCAGGGGGGGGAGGTGGTTGACGTAGGCACGGTGATGAAGATTTGCTGCTAATATGAGTATGCAGCTCAAAGGCTTTTTCTCTTGCCGGTTTACCACAAGGTGAGTTCCTTTTTATATCCTGCTTCTTACACTACTCTACAGCTTAGCTCTGAGTGTTAGCGATGCTTGCTAATGTAAACAAAGACTGTAGGCTATTATGTCCAAAACAGTCGGGCATTGTTTCTGATAGCAACTTTCTGATAGGGCCGTGGGTGTAAAGCCAGCCCACATTTCCGATATTACCTCATATTAGCAGCAAATCTGGATCAGCTCCGTTGTACCCCCGTTTTTAGAGATTTGGGCACGGAGGAAAAGAGAGATGGTTTTGTTTCTGACACTTTGTGAGTTCCCCGACACACCGGGGACACATATTTATGTATAAAAGACATGAAAAAGTGCATTTTGCATGATAGGTCCCCTTTAATAGTTGTAGTAAGCATGTGCACCTGTAAGCGTGGCAGACCGTGCACTTCCAGTCCTCCGCTCCCACGCGGCACCGGCTGCAGATGCGGTGGCTGCAGCCGCGGCACACCGCTCCGGAGTTCCACAGTTTTCCCAGAGGCCTCTGGCAGCGAGCGCAGGTCCGCTCACCGTACTGCCGGGAGAAACTCTTCGCACCTCTCCTCCGAAGCTCCTGGAGGTCATGTTTCATCCTCCTGAGATGAAGATGGAGGAAAACACAAACTTTAAATGAATACTCCACCCACAAAATGACCATTTACATATCACTTATACTCAACTGGTGTTACCTTGAATTGTTAAAGGAAAGATAGTCAACAAAAGGGGTTAACAGGATTTTTCACCAGCTAAGGATTCAATATCATAGTATGTGTTTAGGAGGTATTTAACATAAGACTGGATATAATTAATGGGTTGGGTGACAGGGTAAGAGTTTGTAAACTGATGTGTTGATGTAGTTTTGCTGTTTTTAAATTGGGCCCTTATTAAAATAAATTCATCAAGACTTTATTTTAATTGTATTCTTTGTTCTCTATGGATTAATATGAAAAACGTTTCCTGCAATAATTCATTAATTCAATGGAGTAATTGATATACAACTGTTCATTTTGAAGATACAGTATGTATTTAAGCTGTTAGACAAAGAAGAATTATCTTCTGTCAGCAAATGCAAACTTAAATGTGAATGACAAACATCAATTCTTTATAAGCTTCTTGTCACAACAAACCCACAAAATCTTATTTCCATTATGACTGTTTGTTGCTGGTCTCATAATGATTCATGAGAGATGGTAGTACTTCTTAATGATGCCTCCAGCATCATTAAGAAGTATTTCCCATGCAGTAGTCATTATGAAAGTAGTCAAAATGACTCACCTTATCCTGTCCTCTTCAATAGTACGCAGCTGTTGGTCTCTCCGAAGAACCTCCAGGACTCTTTCTCTCTCCAGAGTTTGAAGAAATGTTAAATCCATCTTTAAACGGCAGCAGTCTGTGATCATCTGTATCACTACTTCCTTCTCTCTGTCTCTCTCTGCTTCACTGGCTTCTTTTTGTTCCTGTCTCCTCCTCCTCCTTCTCTTCGTCTCTTGAACCCTCCCTCTTTACTGAACGCAGACCTCCTCTTCAGTCCCCACAGCTGAAAGAGTAAAAGTGAGAGAGTAAAGGTTATTCTAGTACGTTCCGGTAAGATGCCCCTTCTCCTGATTGTCATCTCCACAGTGTCCCCGTCCACGTCAGAGCCAGATATATCTGGACCTCCTGAGCAGAGGGTTTGTTTCCACTTGGATGATTTAACTGTAAAACCCTATTTTAATATAATTGTTCTCATGAAAAGTGACTGGGTACAAGTCTGCGACCTGATGACGCAGAGGGTTAGTAATCTAGGGTAACCTCTACCACACAGGAGCTGATGTAACAACAGACTACTTCTGAGCAAAATCCTACATTGTTTTAGACAGCTCATGTCTTCATCTTCCCATCCAATCAGCATTACAAAGCATCACCCCACTGCACATGATCCGTACATTTAATTTAATTTCACTATACATATTTTCACCTCCATGAATTTCCTTCTGGTCTGTGGTCAATGCCGTCTACTTGCTTTTTCTTTGCACTGGAACTGAGTTACAAAGCTATATCAATCCATTACCACCAACTCTGTTGCAAGCATAGACTTTATAAAGGTTGTAAGGCAATGATAATTAGGTCAGTAACTATCTTGTATCTATTAAAGCCGTCTCCTGGCAAACCAAAAGCTTCCTCAAGTGCAGGAAGAGCAGTGAGGCTTCACTGATGTCAGAGCTGCAAAACAAACCAAATGCCAACCTTTGCATTATTGATGATTGACGTGCGTCTGTGTACTAGATTTTTTTTTTGCGGACCAGTAAACTTATTTCAATCTTACTTCAATATCATGACTTGAAGCTTAACATGTTGTTAATAAATATTAGAGGTAGTTGTTTGTATAATGTCAATTCAGACTTAAATGCTTTATTTTAGAGTTTGATACTTTGGGAAATAGGCTCATGTGCTTTCTTACCATTGTTGGATTGGTCAAATGATAGCTTTGCTGTAATTATCAATCAGCGTATCCACTAGTCCATCTAGTGCTATGTCTCTGCTTTTCATCATATTAAGTCTTTGGATTTTGGACTGACAAAACATCACATTAAAAGACATCCTCTTGGATGGACATATTTCACTATTGACAGACAGATAAATCTATAATGGAGATGAAGAGCTTGTTAGCTTAGCTTAGCATAAAGATTGGAAGCAAACACAAAGGCTTTGTCTGAAGGTAGACAAATCGGATACCTTTAAATCTCACTAAACAATGTTAGCGTGTGGTTGTATAATCTTTAGTAAAACTGAAGTTTTAAAAAGAAATGTTGTTTTGGGGTTAGCTTATGTCCCAGACTAGCAAGCAAGCTAGTAGCACACCAGTCCAAGAGAGACCGTTTTTGTTTTCAGTCGTAAGCTAAGCTCATGGCTTTAGCATCAAGTTTAATATACAAAACCAAATGGTATAAATTATCTAGCTCTTAACAAAATAATGAATAAATGGCCACATGTCAAATTATTTATTTCAGCTCTTATTCATCTCATAAGAGGGTCTCATTTAAAGACATTTCAATCTGGAACATAACCACTTTACTCTAGTCGACAAGTGAAGCATGGTGAGAGAGTAATAGCCTGATGCCAGCCTGTGTTGGGAGATAAGAGCCTGTGCTTGTTACTGTCCAGAGCATGGATGTATAGGTCCAGAGCGGCCAGGAAGCTGTAGAAAACATCAGCGTAGGCTGTAATCAGGCCTCACGTCTCACAGAGACACACAGCTGCTATCTGTCCTCTGCTGACGTGCACCGGCCACAGGGATTCTCTCATGTTGTAAATATAAATGAGGCAAGAAGGGAAATGTGCTGCTAGAAAGGTTGTGATGCAGCAAACATTTCTCTATGCTTGTAATTTGTTAATGTTAATGTTAATTCATCTAATCGACAGGTGAATTGATAATGAAATGTATTACAGTATTTGTTGCAGCCTTAGCTTAGCTTAGCATAAAGAATGGAAGCAGAGGGAAACAGCTAGCTTGCCTATGTATTGATTAAGGTAACAAGATAAAAACACACTTTGAAAGCTAGCAAAATAACACGTTAAGTCTTATGTGTTAAATTCGTACAAGAACTTTCATTTAAAAGAAAATGTGGGTTTGTGATGCAACAGACATTTCTCCATGCTCACCTGTAATTTGTGAGTATTCAATTATTCATCTTGAGAATGATTGGCAGATTAATCGATAATGAAAATGATTGTTAGTTACAGCCTTTATACAGTATATTGCAACACGTTCTCACTCCCAACCCGTCACATGTTGACGGACGGTCAGGGCCCCTCCCCGTCACTCTATTACGGACAGGGTACCCCTTGAGAGTCAGTTTTCCACGTGCAGGGCGTCCCATAGACCTCCCATAGCGTTGATAATAGACGCCATGAGAACGCTCCCCGACGGTTATTGTCAATATTAATATAATAATTATTTATTTTTTAATAGTCACACTCGATTTCGCCGATTTTTTTGCTGCCCCAGCTGGTCGACACCTCTTTTAGCAGAAACAAAGGCTACATTAATGTATTCAATCTATGTTAATCCATGTCTGTGGTTGTGGAATTAATGGACGTGCCGTTGTCCGTTACAAACTCTTGGTTGGGAGTGAGAACGTGTTGTATATTGTTACACCCCCTGGCTCTGTCTTCAGGCAACAAGATCAACAAACACCTTTAACTGTGATAAAATACCACAGTATGTCTTATTTGTTAACTGAAATGCATGTTGTGGCTTCTAGAGGAAGTTTGTGATGCAACAGACATTTCTCCATGTCCCACTATATTTGGATTCCTTATTTGTAGAAACAAGTGCTCTCACTTTGACAGTAGGCTTTTAGTATGATGATCATCATGTCTATGCAAGTCATTTCAGAACTCGCCTCTACTATGCAAAGGACCATAATGATTCAGGCTGTGGTTTGGTGGTCTGAGTTCACATCCGAGAAGAAAGGGTGGGAACCTATATATACAGTCTATGGTGGGAACTCACATCAGCCCACAGCTCTGATAGGAAGGGACACCTGACTGGTTACACTGGGACCCAAATACAGAGTCTGAATGTCATGAGAAAGACTGAACCGGTCACAAGGTCTCAGTTCAGTTTCCCACAAGATGCATATCTCGAGTCAGCTCTGGCAGCTCTGCACTAAGACTCATCACCAGAAACCGATTCCAAATAAAAAACGTCTGTCATGGTCACGCTCACACGCCATGAGCTCTGACAGTGACTGAGGGTCCAAAACGTGAAGGAGTCACACAAACCCTAATGAAAATATCTCAAAATACCTCACACCTACTTAAGCTGCATGGTGTCGACATACATATAAGTATTTACAAAACCATGCACTGGTTTCAATATTTTTTCTGCAGTTCTTCACAGTCACAAAAGTGCCTGGTTGCTAAAAATAAGCATAGTTACAAGGTAAAAGGAAAAGCACTTGTTACCAAAATAGAACATTTCTGTATTTCCTTTTCACTGATGTGCTGACAGCACTCCAACATGTAAATCAGGCTTAAGGGCAAGAGGAAAGCGTTACACATAAAAAAATGCAGATTTGTACATGGCTTTGTCAACATGTGACTCAAAAAGGCATAATCAATACACAGCATGCAGCCAGGAGACAAGATACTGCGTCACTGCATAGAGAACAGGAGACCTCCACTTATAGAGCAGTCACAGACATGTTATACAACTAAAAGCAACAATCACTTCATTTCAGTCATTTCTGCTTTTATGATTACTCAATTGTTAGCTTTGAAAACAGATACTCAACACCAGCTCTTTTTTGCTAATTCTCATCTTGGTATCACTTTGACAAGTACAACCTCAAAAGGAAAGCACACTCAGGTTTTTGAAATGATAACTGGGTCACAGCATTGCAGAGCAAAAAGCTGCAACATCTTACCTTCAGTCTTGCAGCAGAGTGGTCAGCCTGAGGAAGTGGCAGATCTTGTATACACTGAGGGAAACATACAGAGCTCTGTTTCCTTTCTTTGTGAAGTCAGACTTTTGCAATCTTGAGACTGCCAATAGAGAAACGGCTGGGTGGTTTGATCACACTTTTTGTTTCGGATATGATGCATGTGTGCAGAAAGTGTTTCTCTGCAGCCCTGATCTCAAGGTGTCATGGGTGAAGAAAAAAATATACAAGTGACAAATTCAGTGTAGAAGAGTTTTTATATGAGTTGCTATAGATGATGGAAAAATCTGTTGAACCTTATTTTTTTCTTACAAACAATAACTTCCAGACAGTCACTGGGAAGAGCAAATTTAAGACTAGACAGAAAGTGTGTTGATCCCAGGAAATTATTTCAGCTACAAGCGTGCGCACACACACGCACACACACACACACACACACACACACACACACACACACACACACAGCTGTAAATTAAGTTCTCATTCTGTTTTTGCGTACACAAATGAAAAAGCAGAAAGCTTCTCATGTCAAGCGTAAACTAAATACTGAGTTCAGCTAAAGTTTCTCAACGAACAGCCACATCCAACAGTTATGGTTTACCTGCAGAATGTCAATAAAAGCAAAATGACCATGAAGAGATGCACAATTACCAGATAAAAAACTAAACGTAAATGATTCGAAAGTACAAATGATCAGGAGATGCAAAGTATAGAGACGCAAAACAACAATAAAGAGGCAAAACAACCATGAAGAGATGCACAACTATATCAAAGAGACACATCATTGCAATGAAGACACAACATGAACAGAAAAACATAAATAGCTACACAAAAATGATTTGAAAACTACTACAAAGGCAAACATAGCTTTACAAATATGTAAATTAACCACAAAGACAAACAAAGAGGGGAAATGTGACTCATTATCCATCAATACACACACACACACACACACACACACACACACACACACACACACACACACACACACACACACACACACACACACACACACACACACACACACACACACACACACACACACACACACACACACACACACACACACACACACACACACACACACACACACACACACACACACAAATCTACTTTGACAATTTGACAAAAAACAGCAATGTATGTATGAAGAATGAAGAAAATAGAAAAATAACAAGCATGAACAAACAATGGCAACATCTGGCAGGTAAAATATTTAGTTTTCTTTTAACAGTAAAACTTCATGTTTTTTGTTTTCTGTCTGCAGGCAGCTCTCCAGATGTGTGGAAGCAGACATAAATAATTTCCAGATTGTCATGTGTTTCCTGAAGAGCCCCTGCCAATAAAAGCAAGTGTTCTATAAATAAATTCTTCTTTCATCAATAAACGTTTCCCTTTCATTTTGTTCCCATACGAGGCAATACTTTGGAGCCACTCAGCAGATGTGACGGCGTCTTTGGTTCAGAGCTTTTTGATTCATTTTATAAAAACATTATCAAAAACAAAATACAATTTCCACACATGGACTTATCTGAAATGTTTACAATGAAATCAAACATATGAAAAAAAACCTGGATGGAGCTTAAGTCAGATCAATTTGGTTTTAACACAGAACACGAATGCACCCGTTAACTGTGTCCATGTGGACTGAGGCCTGGTGTGCAGAACAATATGGCTTCCTTTGGAAATTAAATCTTAATTTTGATAAAGTCTCAGATTTTAAGCAGTCTGTAGCAACGTTTTCAGCTGAAGCGTCTCCTCCACTGATAACCTGTCGTGGTAGAAGCTGAGTCCGGCCAGCATCTCGATGTCTCGGACTCTCGCCGTGTGAAACTGCAGCCAATCCTCCGCCCACGACAAGTCTGACCCGTTCTGAGGGGGGAGCAGAAAGGAAAGGGAAAAGAGGAGCAAAGAAAATGTATTAAAGGTCTCCTATTATACTGTTTTTCATCAATATATTATAGGTCTCAGATATATATAAAACATGTCTCCGAAGTGTTTGGCTCCAAATACCAGACAGATAATTGCAGCATTACCCATAATCCCCTCTGTTTCAGCCCTGTTTCAAAAGTGCTGATTCTCTGTCTGTTACTTTAGATGAAAATAAGGAGCCCCTCCCCACGCCCCTCTGCGAGATATTTGGTTAAAAAGAACACAATGGTGCACTAGGAGGAGATTCAGGTGATAAGGTGGGGGGGGGGGTACCTTGGTTGCTGATTGGCTAATGGTTACACAAGCCAAAAACATTGTTATGACATCATTGTAAAGGCAACCGAACAACAAATATTTGCCAGTGAGGGATATGGTGTGAAGCTTTTCCAGACGCGTGGTGTTGACAGCAAATCAGGTCTTCTCTTTGAGTGCATTTAAGATGTTTATTTGGATTGCAGGATGATGACAGCAAAACAAGAGCCGGGTGTTTAACTGATAAAAACAACTAACTGTGATAAAGAAATAAACTGAAATTAACTCAAAACAAACAGAAAATAAGCGAAAACACGCACGGTTGAAAAACTGTGTGGCTTCCCTCTGGTGATTCCCAATCCCTAATGCTGTGCACTTGTATCCTCCCCAAATAGTAGGCTGTACCCTGAAATTGGCTGAGTCCCCGCCTATGCCCAGGTCAATTCAGTAGTATCACAGCACCTTCATATACAAATATTAAAATACATCAAATTGGCTGCAACAATCATAAAGTGGCCAAAATCTGATCAGCTCATTTTCAGACAGGTTTATTTTTTTCAGGACAAAAAGTAAGCGAATCTTTTTTTCCTGAAACGTTCAGAACCTCTTTACACAGAGGAGACACATGTTTATGTATAAAAGACAGGAAAAAGTGGATTTTGCATAATAGGTGACCTTTAAGGCGTTTGTTTCCACTGAGGTGAGGTGCAGAAAGGAGTGAGCGGTGTTACTCACAGCGCAGCTCTCCGTGTGGTCAGGTCTGTGGGGCAGGATGAAGGACTTGACCCTCAGAGGACCCTTGCAGCCAACAGGGCTGAAGGTCGAGTTCCTGCAGCTGGTCAGGATCACGAAGAAATGCGTCGGGACAGGAGCCTCATTCCTGGAGAGACACGAGATCACAGGGTTCAAGAAACTGATGCACCACTCGATAGAAAGCCTCTTTTAATCAATCATTTGTGCAGGAAAAATAACTACATACTATACAAGCTGGTAATGTTCAATCCTTTCATACAAAATAGTTACTTAGAAGTCCTATGAGGCTTTTGGGGGATTTCCCTTTCTTTCAGTGTGTAGGTTTGAGTGCATGTAAATGGTCTAAAAAGGCTTAAATCCCAAAGTTCCCTCCAAAGGGGGTTTCTCTCCCACACGCTCCTCCAGCTTAATTTTGTCATATATAATAACAATGAATTATAAGCTAAATCAAAATGTCACTTTGGGCTCTCTGAGGATGTAATGTGCTTTTTCCACTTTTTCTGACAGCAAATCCCAGTAGGAATATTAGGCACATTATTTGCTCACATAATAAAAAATGTTCAGCCCATGTGAATCTGGTGGAGTGTGCGTTGCTGACTTACCCTGAGATGGCTTTGAGTGCATCAACGTTTCCATCGTAGTCTTCATCAAATATCGGCCCGCTCATGACGTTGACTCCGTTCAGCTCTTTGGAATATTTTGGAAGCAGGACATCATGGAGATGGGTCCAAACATCTGCAATAAGGGAGAAGACACACCGAAACCTTTTTACATTTAAATTATTTTTAAAGAAAGTGATAACATAATTACAAGTACAATCTTTGAAGGAATAATGAACCTACCATAACCTCTAAAGTTCACTAATCAACAATATGTTGTTTGTTTATTATATATAAATAGTTAAACAGGATATAGCGTGTGGAGCTTTTTGTTTTAGTTTCAGATTTAAGTTAATAAACTCACAATTTGACAGTGTACAGCATATACAGCAATGTGCCAGCAGGGGGCAGCATCTGCTAGCTGATTAGTTTGAAAGCCTCTAGCATGCACAAACTGAAGCATGGAGAAGGGGTTTTCCTTCCAATGAGACCTCATGCTACTGAGCCAGAGTTTCCATCATAGTGTGGGTGGCCCAGTGGAAACAGACCAGAGCCGAGTCGTCTGAAACGCTTGATTTGATATATCAGCTAACGAAAGGTAACAAGTTTAAACTCATCAGTGCTTCTGAGCACATAGCAGTGTTGCGTTATAACATCTTTCTGTACCCTAACAGGATATCACATATTTCACAGGTAGTTTTGTACAGTGGAAATGTGAGGGCAGGCACAGACTTACTCTTCAGCAGAATTAAGCAACATGCTTTTGTGAGAAATACGTCACAAATCTATGAATCAAGACACACACTCATACTATTTCTTGTATAATTTGCAACACAAGGAATGATTTCCTGTGTAGTCATGTTTTCTGTCATTGGTGAGCACATGGTGAATAATGACCACCTTAAAAGTTAATCTTATCGTGAGATAAACTGTGGGTCTGCAGTAGGATGGCAGGAGGATTAACTGGAAAATCTTACCAAACCTTTAATTGTGCTTTACAGAAAGAGCTTGACTAAATGCAAGTACAGTAATCCTGTGTAATCACAGCAGTTAGATTTTGGGCTCTTATTATATGTGTATTTGAGAACCAAAAGTATAGCCTGTTTTGAGAAAAATATAGAGACGATATTGTTTAACACAGAAAACAGAGCATGACATAATGACTAGTTGTGATCCGGTGTCTCTTCAGTTCACGGGTTAATTAAATAGTTCAGCTTTCACTCAGTGTGCAAATGAACCCTATCTGACATTTCTGAAATTACATTTTTAACTCGTGCATCACCATGAATCCCATTTCCATTCAGCCCCTAGTTTTGCTGCTACAGTATAGGCTTAGACTGTCGGGGGACACCTTACTTCTTCTTCTCTCTGTCTATACCTGTGTACTGTCATGCTCCGAATAACTCAGTTTCCCCCAAATTTATTTTTGGTGTCCGTCTACGCCGGGATCCTGAGTCGTGGCTGATCCTGTTGCTGT